AATAATAATATTGTTTTGTTGTTGAATTGCATTGCTAGCAGCCATATCACTCTGCAACTCACAACTGGCAACCTACTGAAGCTAAGCAGGTGTGAGCCTGGTCAGTACCAGGATGGGAGACCTCCTGGGAAAAACTAAGGTTGCTGCTGGAAGAGTTAGTGGGGACTAGCAGGGGGCGCTCACCCTGTGGACCATGTGGGTCCTAGTGTCCCAGTATAGTGACAAGGCTACTATACTTTAAAAAAGCACTGTCATTTGGATGAGACATAAAACCAAGGTCCTGATTCTCTGAGATCATTGAAAATCCCAAGCCGTTTTGTGAAATGCTGCACATTGGTGGTGGTGGTGGAGGGCAGTCCCCATTACCGGTAAAGTGCTTTGAGTGGAATGTGCAAAAAAAAAGCTATATAAGTGTAAGCTATTATTATTATTATTATTATTATTATTATTATTATTAACTCTTTATAAAATTATGGTTATTTATATGGTATTTATATGTTTATTGATATGGTTAAATTGCGAAAGAGAATCTTGAACAGACTTTTATGAATTAGCTTTACTGTGGCTGATTAAGAAAAAAAGTGGGACGAGTAAAACACAAATCAGGTATTTTAGAAGTAGGTCACTTATAGCATTTGCTGCATGGTGGTTGTCATGGAAACAGCAATCTCACCCAAAGGTAGGCGTAGGATTCTAATGAGCTAAAATTGCTCCTAAGAATACATATAAAATAGGAATTGTGAGTAAAACGAAAGCATCTGCACTAGTAGACTGAATCTACTGTAAGTGCAGGTAAATTTGTGATTTTGTTCAATGGGAAAAGATAAGTAATATTATTCACAGAGGTGCAAAAATGGATGACATTTAACAACAACCAAGATTGCAATTCCCATTTTAAAGCTTTTAAGCAGCATCAAGGCAGAGCTTTTGTGATTCTCTTTCTGGACAATACCGGATACGTTTTTCATTACAGACTCATGTGGTGATGAAGCTAGAAAATCAGTTTCTTCAGAAACCTGTTTTCCTGTTTTTTAAACACAAAATTGGGTTTTCATTAGGTAGATTGTGAGTTTCCAGCTTGAATTCCTTCTAATTGGTTACACCGCTGAGTTTCATGATTAATCTTATTAATTGCCTCCTTCAGAATTTTAAACAACTGATCATTAAAGAAACAGCACAATGAAAATGCAGATTGTTGTGGAGAGTGAAAAATACTTTGGGGAAAATGAGCATTTGGGCTGTGCTATGATAGTAACTTCAGTGATTTATCTTGATTGAAGTGTTCTGTCCTTAGCCCCTGTCTGCTTGTTTGTTTTATAAAGTGCAAGCAAATGAAAGAAATCAGTCAACAGTTCCTATGTGTAGAGTTTTCTTTTTGATTTTGGTTTTTCTTTTACTGAAAGACATTTATTGTTGATACTTTATGCATGTATCTATAACCCACCAGAGATCAATACTCTTCCAAATGAAAAGCTAAAACTAAATTATTTATCTTAGACCAAAGGCCTTTTGATCACATCCTTTCTGATGGAATTGACTGAACAACAGATATACTAAGTTGTATGTCACTGACATAATTATCCAGCTAATTTTGCTTGTAATTGCTGAAAAAATAATAAGGCAATTATATTAATACTTCATTGGTTTGCTGTAAAGCTGTAAGATATGCTTGGCCATTTCTGACATTTTCAGTTTCATTCTTGATAGTGATTCCATTAATGATTTCTTTTACAAAAATTGATGTTTCTGACTGACTTTTGTGGATATTAAACTCATTCACTTTTTATTTCAGCTTTACACATGGTGATCATTTAAATTATGCAATTCTTTTATTATTTTAATTACAATTCTTATCTCTTCTTTCACACTTCTTCTGCTTTAATTAAGTAAATATTAGCTTTATACCAATCTTCACTACATGTTTTTTTTCTCCACTTTTTTGTCAGGAACTAAACTAGAAACTTACATGAAGGGGAATGTCAAATGTACGTTCCCCACAACATATGATGTGTTCCCTTAATAAATATTCAGAATTATCTGCATTATCCACAGATATTTAAAAGGTGTTGAATATTTATTTACCCTTTAAATTTTAACGTCATGTGTCTGCACTGAACACATGCTAAATTTTACAGAAAGAACCTCTAGTGCCACTGCACTGTATTTATGTACAAACGCCGTGGGATTCCCTTACATGTGAATTTATAGGAAACTTTTCTTCCCTTATGCGAGAGCCTTGTGCTCTGTAAAAGAGTAAACTCCATATTTGGCTGAATAACATACAGAATGCTCAAATCTGTTGTATTTGGGTATAGAAGCAATTAGGTTCAGGCCTTTACTTAATTTGTCACTTTTTTGTTAAGAATGGAGTCTCTTTTGGTGAAGGAAAAAGGCTGTGAAAATGAGAGGTGTGAGTTGAGGCATTGGGACACGCTGCTTGCTGAAAAACTCTTCTTGCGACCTGAGCTTCTTGGAGTTTATGCAGCAACACTGAGAGGTTGGTCTGAGGACGACTGGGATCTGAAACAGTTACAGAAATGGTGTGTCACTACCCGTGAAAAGGGATGGTTTGAAATATCTCAAAGAATTTTTCTAGGGTCTAAAATTCCTTACTTTATGAAGTGCTTGAAATTGCTCACAGAAATTGTTCACAGAGGTAAGCAAGGCATTTAGAAAGACTGTCTAAATATTCCCTACTCTATTTTTAACAGTTATAAAGTAGTTGAATTTAAAATTACTGTCCATGCATCATGCATTAAAACGTAGTGAACATGAGTGAAAAATCGTTAAAACTGCTATATGTTCTTTTGCACGGTAGCCAAAAAATTGGGCTGGCAGCGGAATACCAATTGTGTTCTACAGTTTGAGACCTTAAGATGAGACATTTTTTGCCTGTTTTTCTGGTGCAAGTTTAACATCATAAACACAGTTTTTTTTTATTTTTGATTCTTTGACTGTCTTTTGCTTTTACTAGGAATTCTACATATATTTGAGGTGTACATTATTACAGACAGGCCTGTTCTGCATTGCCTCAACATAGACAGGGTTTTTATTGGAAGCAGATGAATACAATCAGAGCAGCGTGCCTGCAGTACCTGACTCTGATGGCCAGTAAATCAGCATGGTGGCCATGGTCAAGGCGAAGCAAGCCATGGAGAACTCGATGACTAAAAAGATGTAGAGAAGGCGGAATTCTCTGTATCTCAGTTGGCAGAGTGAATTAGTCTCCGAGACTGAGGATGGGCAGGATGCTTTCCACATCTCTTCTGGAGAAGAAAAAAACATCCTTCTGTACACGTTATTTCCCATTATAAATACTGTAGATACTTCCCTTTCCAAAAGGATGCCAGAGATTTTACATAACTGATGTTCTCATTTTGTGATTGGGGTGAGCATTCATCCATGTTTTTGTTTATCAAAATATACTGTATGCATAGGGAGTGCAGTAGAATTCTCCCTCAATCTGTTTTTTTAAATCTAAACTCCTTTTAAAACCCTGCAAGAAACAAATTATATCCTTGGTATCTCCACAAAGTTCACATTATTCTAGACAAACGTTTTTGCCATGCGCTAGTCTTACTCCATGTTTGTTTTTGTAAAATATATCTTGAGTATGCAGTGTATATAAAGCTTGAATTAAACATTTATACTGTATAACTTAGTACTATTGGAATGGCAATATTTGTCAACCTAAAGGAAGAAGGTTTTGCAGGAAATATAAAAGGGTACTGTAGGTCATAAATAGTGTTGGATAAAGTTATTTTAAAGGTAACTCTTTACAGTTTCTGAGTAAGTGACTCAGAAGGGATTATTTGTTGGCCCACATTGCTTTTAAGAGGTATTTACAAAGTAATTCCACACACTACTTTTAAAAATAATTTTCACTCAACTCTTTTTTTAATGTTACATGACAGACTTCTAAGTTGCTTTTTAAAAGTGTTGTTCACCAACTCTAATCATAAACAGGAATACAATAAAACATATCGTCCAAAACTTTTTTGTTAGATATTCTAAGACAAGACAGACGCAACCTGTAGTAAAAGGCGCATTCTCTGCAGAGGACTAAATTTGAAAAACATGCTATTTTTGGAATGAAAAGGTAATTTCTACAAAGTATATTGATTGTTTTATCGTCAGTTGTACTTATTAGTACTTACTAAAGTGGATTAGATATCATGACCCCACAAAGCAATAGAATCTGAAATACAAATAATAGACTTATGGTTGCTTACCTTTAAAACCAATAGGAAAGTTGCAGCTCTCTCATTAACGCTACATTATGGAGATTCATACTCTTCATACCTGCAGATTGTTAAGCCACTGGTCTATAAGACCAGCTCTGCACTAAGCCCAGCCTCTGCAAAACACAGCTTCAGAAACTGAAGCCAAATGCTTATATCTTCCGTTTCTGCTGGGTCCTGTTGCCTGTGGGTTTCAAATTATGGCATCTACAATACAAAAATATTTCAAAAAGAAAAATGTTTTTCCCTGTATAGAAAAAAGATAAATTTATCACCCCAAATAGCAGGTGTGTCGGTCTTAAGCAAACATGTAATATCTCAAGAAGTAATTTAACAGCTTTAGCTTTATGCTTCTTCAGAGCACTTGTGCCTAGCTTGTTCTATAGGCTCACAAAATTATATTATTGTCTTTGTCTTCTATGTCTTTTTATTGTAGTAACTAAACATTATATGCTGAATCCTGTAAATCATTATGAGCTGTATGAAGATTGGTCATATACTGTACAGCAAATTACGATTTATGTTGGGTGATGCACAAAAAATATAAGTATAAGATTAATCCTGTCTAATCTAATTTATGTGATACATGAGGTGCACTGAAATGCAGAACCCACCTGGATGACAAGTGGGAGCCATTACAGACAGGTCAATTCACAATGTTCTCATCAACTAGAGAAGTTATTTGGATTTAGGGGAGTACAGATTACACTAGTGAAGAGTGAAATTTAGCCTGGATGGTGGGGTGAACACTCCCACTCTTGCAAACAGTGCTACAGGATTTTTAATGACGAGGAAGGCGTAACCTGGGTTTAATGTGTTATCCAAAGGGACCGAGTTCTTAAATCTGACGTGATTAGACTAAAAGCTGGTAATTCTGCAAAGTAGAGGCAGTGGCTCTCAAAAGTGAAAACAATGTCTTATTTATTTTTTCTATCCTTATACACACACAGAATGGATTGGTGCTTAGACTGTTAATACTCCCAAATTACCAAATCCAGTTTTTTTTGGGAAAAGGCAAACAGTTTCAGTTTTGTCTGAGAATACAAAATAATAAAATTTGCACATGTTAACTGTTCATTAAATACAGTATGCCACTTCCTGTACTCTCCTTCACCATTATAATTTCATTTTATAGATTATTCTTTGTTTTCCTTCATGGACCAAATCATTTCTTTAATCAGAGCTTAAATTACTCTCGGAGAATGAAAGAAAATGAAAATGAGAAAATTGTTTGTTTGGGACACATAGAAAACCTGCAGTACTTCTCCATCAAAACTGACCGCAGCAGTAATATTTATGGCTGCATTGCTATTTTAAAGTAAGAAAAGCTAATATGAAACCATTTTAATAAAATGAAAGTATCATGTTTTGGAGGTCCTACTCAATGAAAAATGAAGGCCTTAATGGCTAACCCCAGATTTTCAATTTCAGGAAAGAGAAAAGTATGTTCACATTGTACAGGACATCCTGTTGCTTACACACAGAGAGAGTTGTTTTTCTCCAAAAACAATTGGAGAAAAAATCTGATTATTTCCAGTTTAATGAAACTGTTTAATGTACTGTATAGTGCTTTTCATCCCAAATAATTTTACCAATTGGATTAAAAAGAGAATTTCGTTAGGTCATGCTGTGCAAACCTGGAGTGAAATTTAGCCAGGACTCCAAGATTAATGCCCCCTCCTCTCACAAACTATCATGGGATCTTTAGAGACAAACTAAAGAGTCAGGACCTCTTACTGCCACCATATAAGGACTTTGAGTTTGAAGAGAACCAGCTAGTGGTCCACCTACACCATTTACACAACCAAAACCTGGTATTTCTTAGAAGTCTAAGATCCCAGCAATAAACATGACCAGCCTTTATTAGCTTCTGAGATGTGAAATATCTAACTGCTAAGTGGTAACACTGCTGTCAGAGATTATAATTGTAGAATGGCCAGAAAGTATGAAAAACTCTTAAGGCACTCCTAAGCACACAGAATCAGTTTAAATATTTACTGGAAGAATTGAACAAAACAACCTTCTCAAGCTTTAATTCTTGAAGCAGAGATAATTGTAGTGCACTGAAATCAAAGGTCAGCTGTTCAGAAGCATCTGATGTGGGTTTCTACAGTGAATAAACTGGAATTATGAGCTATAACATACATCGTTCTCAATTGAACTTTATGTGACATTTCTCTACCATGTATATTAACCCCTATGCCGCTAATAATATGAAGGTTAATTCACCATTTAGCTGAAACTTAACGAACATACTATATAGAGAGACAGGGGAGTAAACAGTTCTTCATTAGGTACAGAGTCGCTTACAACAGGATCTTGATTTTAAATCTAATCCAATGAGAACGACAGCTAAAGCCTGAAATGAGAATTTCCTGATAAGACTTTTATCTACTACAACCAATTCCAACAATTAGAATAACAGATTTTCAGCATGACAATAATACTTTGCTGTGATAATATTATGCTGTGATAATGTGCTTTGTCATATCATAGTATGCTATTTTTTTTTATTTACTTTTGTTTATTTTTCTTTTACCAGTTCCTTACTCATACCGTGATAATGCATAACTTGACATTCATTGCTAAATGGTAATAGTCTGACAATTAGATCAAGCCTTTTTCCACCGTTAAAAAGCCGATACTTAGGTTAAACTTTCTTTAGGGTTTTATACTTGAAGGCAACGCATTCAGAGGTTTGCATAGCCTTTTCTTTTACTTTTGACAAGCAATGTTTGACTTTGGACATTCTATTAGGATAAGAAAAGCTGGCTTGTTGTTCTGCATTTGGTGAGAAAGTATATCATTTGTCAAGTTTACTGTAAAGGTCATTGGTTTTATAAAGGGAAAATGAGAGAAACATAAATAGAATGTTAATCAGGATTTAGTACATAATCAGAAATCAATCTGTCCCTCTAAGGTTCATTTTGGTCCAAACATCTTTTTTTTACATTTCATTAGTTTATGTCTTTAAAGTACTGAATAAATCCGAGAAAAGCCTCTTTCATCGGTGAAGAGATTTGATACCTAATAGTTTATAGTCATTCAATTTAGCAAAATATAGGATCTGAAGTTAAAGTACTCTTAACAATGAAAAGCCTCTTTTGGATACATTCAAAAAGTTTGTCACAGAAGCATGAACTAGGTCTCTGCTGGTGAGTCTCTTATTGTGAGTTTTGCAGTTCACACACAGCCTGAATTTATACATTATTGGGCTGAAAGCTGTTTCAAAGTGCCTTCTTGCAGAATAAGGAAGTGACAGATACTGCCATGCTCTCCTTTCTGGTGTACACAGTACTTGTCCTTTGTTTGTATCTTGCAAAGGCCTTCCACTGGCAATGACAAAAAGACCTATTGAATATAGAGCTAGGGTAGCATCACTAATCTACCGTATATTTAATTCGGATGTGTAAGATGTAATGAAACATGATTTGTGCAAACCGTGTTCAGGGGCCTGTTTAGTTGTTCAGTCAAAGAAGAAATCTTCTGGATGTAGTTTCTCCATACATTTTGGGCTATTTATTCCCCTGAAATGTCTCAGTGTGTCAAATGACCTCTCTAATACTGTAAATTGTTATTTATAACTTTATAAAATCACGTCACAGACATAGGTTAGTGTATTTCCCCAATGGAAATTTAAACTTGCTTCAGATGTGCAACACCCTAAAACTACTAGGTATCACTCATAGCCAGTAATCTCTAATCCATTTATTTTAGGTTTTTAGTGATTACATGTAAGCATCTTTTACATAATAAAGTATGTGACTGAAAATGAAAACATCATTTTACAGTATACAGTAGAGTATCATAATACTGTGTGCTGCAATTGTTAAAAGTTTGCATGTTGTCAGCCATATTTGAAATCACCCAAATATTCATCTGCTTTCTAAACTTTAATTGTATAACTGACCAAGAAAGCTTATTAAACTCACTCCCCAAAATGTTTTTAATTACTAAATTGGTAATATCACTTTAAATATGGTTTTATATGATTCTACACACATCTTTTCCATACTGGTGTAACAGTTGATCTGTGTTCTATAGCCATTTCTGAATCCGCCCTCATTGGTGCCATTTTCCTATTTTTGCATAGTCTTAACTTCTGTATTGAAATATAACTTGGAAGAAGGGTAGCATAACATTACTACTGGATTGCAGTTCCTGGCTCCAGGGTTCAATTCATGCCTGGTATTTTTATGTTCTCCCCATTATTTCTCAATGATCCAGTTTCCTTCCACCTTCCAAGGACAAGCTACTGTATGTTTATTTATTTCCTTAAGCTGCTTGCCTGAATGCTTACTTGTTCGAGTGCACTGTGATGGACCAACATGATAATAAGGGTAATCTCTGGATTGTCTCAACCTTTCTAAGGAATAAGCAGCTTTCTGATAATAAGTAAATGGAATATTACTGTGATGTGATGACTACAGCAATCTACAGTATAGTAAACTCATGTCAAATCTTCAGAAAGGCTTTTACCACATGAAATACAATATTCAATCCAACCCTTTTTATGGGCAATTGTAAGTACTTAATGCCTCTCCTTGGCACCATGCTTAAGAATAAACAGAACCTAAAATGTAAAGGTTTAACCTGTTCTTCTTTAATGAAATGGATTTGGTGCCCAAGTCTGATTAAGCAATAACTAAAATGTTAATTTATAAAAGGAAATTATAATATATTGTGTTAGTTACTGTTCTTTAGCTTTATGATTAGATTTGCAATTGGGATCTATTTTTATGATAGCAGTAAAACAAAACAAGCAGACAATAACTTGGTAACTGGTCCAGACAGTTAATAACTCACGGTTAAATCATAGTAAAAACGTAAAACATCTATATAGATTTTTGTATGATTGTTTTTTTCATATTTCTGAAGGAGGCAAGGGTAGCAATTAAAATTGATTTCCAAAACAGTCATAAGTACAGCCATGGATCGCCAAAGCATTTTGTTGCCCTGTATTAATTGTTATTATTTATATGTTGTTATTATCTATTATGTTTGTAATGTTCTGTTTAAATTGTGTGGAGTATTGTGTACTGTATGTCCCAAGAGATCAGAGTGAATAAGAATTCCAAAGTATATGCACGTATGGCAATAAACTCCTCTACTCTACTCTCTACTGTACAATTCCTGCGCTGGTGAGTTGCTATATTCTGTAAATGTTATCTCAGGTATTTCACGCATCTGTTATCTTTAGTAAATTAAGGTTTTATGATCCACCACAAGTACATTAACATGAAAATACGATCATAATTTAAACTTAATTTCACAACGCATAATATGATTTCATGATTGGATTTTCAAGAGAGAGCACATTTTTCTAAAGTGATGAGTACATTTTACTGCTTTCAATCTTTGCGCACTGAGTGCGGGGCCCGAAAGGATGAATGTGAGAGAACTATTAAAAAGACAAATACATAATTGGGTACTTGCCCAGCTTGCATAAAGCACTGATATAGCAGGGAGGAAATGAAGCCAGATTCATCAAGGGTAGTTCATAGTGTAACTGGTGCTTTCCCAAACATTGTTCCCAAACCCAGCATCTTGTCCAGGCCCTAACATTCAACATTTTGTGTATACCCCTACATTTAACATCGTCTTTAGCCCCTAACATTCAACAATTTGTGTAGACTTTTATTAGAATACAACATTTAACCTCTTGTGTAGACTGTAACATTCAACATCTTGTTTAGATACTTACATTCAACCTCTTGTGTAGACCCTAATACTCAAGCACAGTCTTGTAATTCGGCTCTAATCTAAATCCCCTGGCTTCGCTCAAGTAAGATCCACATGGCTGGTCTCTGAAACAGACTCCAAAAGCATATGCTTCACTCTCTTTCCTAGTATATCCTCCGGCCTGCAGTTATTTGCTATTATATGCTTGTATTTAGTGATATTTCACCATAATAATCTTCAAAGCAAGTAATGAACAAGGCATCAAAGGCTTGTAAGATGAACTTTTCTTCTTGAAGCATATTAATTGGATGTGTTTAAATACACAGGGAACTAAAATATTCATACACTGGAAATCCTTTTTTTATTCCCATGTTACCTGACACTGTAACCAGAAAATATAAATGGGAAACTTTACACATCCTTATGCTAGTCACAAAAGTCATTTTGTATGGGTATTTTGATAGACAAAACTGTCAACAATTGTGTTTATTTGCTTTTATCCCCCCCTCCCCCCCAAAAAGACAAAAATACAAGTATTGCATTTGTACATCAGACTCAAAAAGTCAAAATATTCATAAATAATGTTCAAAAACAGTCCATAGGCCTTCAACATCAAGAGCGACATTGATCCATGTGTGCGTAGAGAAGGCATCCTTTGTCAAGACATTAGTTCTGTTAAGAACACTGTCAATCTACATACAAACATCCAGACTGCCAAATAAAGATGACTTCACATTACTGTTATCCACAGATTTCAGCCTCATTTCTTCTGGGGTACAGACATTTTTCGCAGACCCTTCATGCGATATAAAAGTCCATTGATAAAATCCTGGTAAGGGAAAAATGACAACCTTTAATGCGTGGTGGAAGGCAGCCTGATTTTTACTAATCAGTAACTTAATGTTATGTGTAACTATCAACATTCCTTGGTTTCAAGTGTCTTTATAATAGGTTACTGTTGTACTATTCTGAATCTACCGAAGGACTAAGATCAAAAGTAGAGCCTGACCTTAACACTGATTAAGTGAAAAAGTTAATCAGTGTTAAGTTGGTTAAGGGAAAAAAAAGAAAAAATCTAGCAATTTATATAATATACCGCTGATTATAAGACAGCAATTTTGGCTGCTTCCCTGGTTTAAAAATCATTGTAATTAGTCTGCAGTTCATTTAAAAGACACTGATAGTGCCTTTAAAGTCACTGTTGTAATAGGACTTTGGTTAAACTATGTACAATTTTATGTCACTAACAAATGACCTGATAATTATACTCCTTGGATTAGCAGTTAGCATTCCTGAATTCAGGAATTTCTGAAGAAACAAAGGAATTTATTAACAAAACAAAATAACTTTTATATAATAAATAAATAGCAACACTGTATAGATAGGATAATCTAAGACAATCTTACATAACAGCTATAATAATTCTTGCTATAATGGACACTGGATTGATGCTAGGCACTGTAAACATAAAGTTCAAATGATTAAACCAAAGTGAGGGCTATATATTTTACAATGTCTTACCTCTTTAGGCTTGCCACATTCCTGTAAAAGTTCCTGTGGAAACAAAGAAAATGTTCATAAAACATTTAACGTAAGAATAATAAGGGCATTTGCAAGACCTAGTTAAAAGGAAAATATTGTCCTGATCAAAGTAAAATCCCATACAATATAAAGTCAAATGCTTTTACTTTAGGAAATCATATGCTTTATGACCTGATTTTTACCTTAGAGCAGTGGTTCTCAAACTTTTTGGACCAAGTACCACCCCTAATCCAACCAAAGCATCCAAGTACCACCTACAAGTCATCATCTCTTAGGAACCCAAAAATTCTCAATGACCAACATGAGCGCGCGTGCACACACACTCACACATACATATAATAAATATTATAATAATAAACTTTATTTGATATAGCGCCTTTAAAGGTGGCTTCTCAAAGTGTTTTACAGAAAAAAAAACATTAACAACAACTAATAAAAAAGCACCATTTCAGTGAGAGGGGTGAGCCTGTTTAGTTGAGC